AAATTAAAGAAATTTGTAATGAAAGAATCTTTCCTAGTTTCTGCAAACTAAACTCTTGCCCATGAACAAGGATCCTGCTAATGTGGGGTATGTCAATATGTGTGTGTCTTTCTTTGGTACCATGATCACTTTTTAGCTTGTTTTTCCTACAATTCTTACATCTCTTTTTCCTTTACATTGACTCTTAGTGATGATTTCCACCCATGTTTTGAGGCTTGTTTATCTTCTTTAAATTAAACTTCACAGTTGTCCCTAGTGAACTGCATAATGTTTGTTGCTAACTTGAATCTTTACTAAATCAACATCTATTAAACTGATTTACTCCTACAGCATAACAGTATCATAGTAACAAAGACATTCGTTATAAGATCAGCATCACCTGATTTAAACATTGGTATGAGGTATGTTTGCCTGTAAGAAAAGTTTTAAAATATATAGTGGCAGATACATTGGAATCATTAATGCTTTTATTCAATTCAATCTATACAATGAACATTTGTTGAGTGGCTACCTGGACTGAGGCACTACTAGGTTTTCATGGTATAATAACATGAGCATGCATTACCATTTACCTTCAAATGCATCTTAAACCTTCTGGAAATTGTAAACATGCCTTACCATAACCTCTAAATACATGGAGAGGTTAACTAAATAAAGGAGGCTAGCTAATAAAGGAGAATATCTAATATAATTATTACCATTCTGCTTTCAAGAGTAATGTTATTCCAGTCTAATAATTTCTGGTCAGATACAGTGAAAATGAAAAAAATATATATGCCTGATTTTTATGCATTAACACAATATCTTAAGAGCAAAAAATCCAAGTCAGACAACCACATCAATGAGTCACTAAACAAATTATAAAGGAAACACTACAATGGAAATAGCAGAAGTAAAACACAAATTATGAAAGTTCTAGGAGGCTCTTCTCTACAAAGGTACCAAAGTAAAGTTAAACATCAATGTTGTTTAAATGGTAAATATCATTAAGTGGTAGTCTCAGAGTCCTCCAACCCTCAGCTAATTACTTGGGTCTGGTATACACAAAACAAGTGGATATGTGGGCTCCACAGGAGGAGCCCTATGGGACCTTGATGTCCCCTGACTGTGTGAGGGAGACCACAGCCAAGGTGCCAATCCCAAAGAAAAGCTAGAATAGGATTGATCCGGACTGTGCCTAATGGATAAAAGTATTAAATCTAGAATAGAAACTCTTCAACCTTGGACATTCTTTTAGTAACTACATAAAACGCATGACTGATTAGTTCATTTACATGGAACAGTTTGGGATAAGACATGTTATTTTTGTTTTCTTACCTTATTATTTGTTTTGCTATATGGGCTTAGGGGTTAAAGGATGGCATTACAAACATAAGAGGTTTCATCCAGCCTTTGCTATGCATAGATACTCAAAAATATTAGTCTTCTCCTCTCTTTGCTTTCTTTGCTAATCTTGTTACAATTATTATGAGATTCACCTTTGGCAAGAATAGTGCACATTTTTATAGGATTTACAAAGTATTCAGGAGCCCCTGGCTTCATGGAAAGTCTCTTTAAATTTTCATATCTTTTAACAATAACTTTCCAATGCAATAGTTTTTCCAAGAACAAGCTTGGAATTTCTAACAGAAACACCAGGAAGCTAAAGAACTCTACAAAATGTTTGAGTTTTTATTTTGGAGGCAAGTAAACAAAAGTAACAGATCTATAAGTATGTCATAGGCTAGGAAGATCTCCAGAGTCATACCTTAACTGATAATTTTTACCATTTTTTTTTTTAGCAGGGAAGGGGCAGAGGGAGAAGGAGAGAATCTTTAACAGGCTCTATGCCTTATGCAGGCCCTAATGTGAGGCTTGATCTCACAACCCTGAAATCATGACCTGAGCTGAAATCAAGAGTCAGACAGGACACTTAGCTGACTGAGCCATCTGGCTGCCTTGATTTTTACCACGATTTCTTCTGCAGCCTTCAAGGATTGCACACACTTTACACTTTATCTGTTGGGGTTTTTTTGGGGGGGTGGTTTATATTGAACTGGTACACACTGGTAGAGCCATGGTCATTTTTAAACACTAAAATATTTCTTAGATGGTACACAGCTGTGATCTGAGCCCCTAGTTCCTCCTAGTGCTCTGGCTATTCCAGCATGACACAGAATCGGAGGTCATGGCCCACTGCTGTGGTGGGGGATGGGAGACTGGATCCAAGCAGAAGAATGGCATCCTGATAACATGGCCAGCAATGCCTTATCCCCATCATGGACGCTCAAGGCTCCTTTTCTCCTTGATCTTCCTTTCAGACCTTCTCCCCCTTACTAGTCTCCTTTCCATTCACCTTCTGCTTCATACTCATGGGTTGCCTCATAGGGGCATGACCTAAAAAGAATGTCCTTAACCCTCTGGTTAAATGACATGCAATCAAGATGTGACATGCCAAAAAGGCCTTGAGAATCTCCGTGTTATGCTCTGAAATGGCCTGAATTTCTTCTTTAAATGTTCTAAATACCAAACTCCATGTAATCAAACCATTTATGTTCCTTCACCTGTGTCGACAGATCTCACTGGTTTCCACATTTTGGCTATCTCCACCCTAAAACAAATAGAATAAATGTGCTGGTTTGTTGTTGTTGTTGTTTTTTCAAGTTATGAAACGTCTTTAAGAAGAAGTGATACTGGATTTGAAACTTAAATACATGATTGGCTGTCTCAGTTCCAAAGTGCACGAGGAATTCTGAATTTAGCTTTTCATGTCAACAAGTCCCTCAGGGAGGGAAAAGAAAGGAGGTTCCTACTGTTGATGCACAGTACAGGCTGAGAGGATACAATCTCAGACTCAATCACTTATCCAATAAGCTATCAACAAAATGGGTTCTAGGAAAACTGCTGAAGAAAACTTTGTTTTTGTGTTGAGAATGACCTCCCCTCTGTGTATAGGGACTCTGGTCTCCTCATGGGGGTCAACCCGGCTTTTCCATCTGGGTATGAATCCTTCAAAACAGGGGCTTAGGACGTAGACTGACCCAGATGGACTCATGGCTCTGATACTGGCTGCTGGGTTCTGGGAAAGTTATGTAACCAGGCTCACATTTAGCTCCTTCATCTGAAGAATTAGCATGCCCATAGTTTCTCTGTGAGAGAATAATACTTCTACATATTAATCTGTAAGTTTCTGCCCATCTTCCTGTGTGCACCAAATTCTTTCAATTGAATACCAAGAACTTCTTCCATTTCCTCAGTCTAATCAGATAGAGATGAGTCACTCATAGTACAAACAAGAAGAAAAGGAAGAAAAAATCATGAGTACTTAGTGTAAGGCAGAAAGATTCAAGATTCTGCTATACACTTTCAGAAAAAATGTTCCCACTTGGAGGGACAAGATAAGCAGCACACTGGGAAAGAGATGGAAAAGACAGGGCTCATACAGACTGGAAAGAAAGAATAGAAAAACCATGAAAATCACCATCCAACCTGAGTATGAGGCAACTAAATGGAAGGTGACCAAGCAATGAGCTGTCCTCTTGGTTGATATCTAGAGAAGATAGAAGTTTCCAATGCTGGCTCATCTTCTACTTTGGAGAGACATTTATCTTCACTGACCCAAATTCTCCCTAGCAATTTCAAGACACACATACTCCAAAATATGTGTCATGCAGTGATGTAGTATCTGTCTCATGGTTCTTAACACTTCCATGAGCCTCAGAAGAGAAAGGCTTGTGTACTTTGTGGATGCTGGTGAGAGGAAGGGAAAGCTACTTCCTGATGCTCCTCCTATAGTATGACTGAGCACTAAATGAAATCATACTCTCAATTATTATGACCATAGTAGTAATGTTACCTTTTTCTAATCTTAATTAGTTCTTGTACCAGTTTAAAGACCATAAGCATTACACTCTGTCTCTTAAGCATGGATTCTTCTTCTGTGAAATGGGATATAGCCCATGGGTGAATCATGAGATATAGCTCCTGTGAAACAATCAAGGATGCTAATTATGTGTGTGTGCATGTGCTTTTCTCTTTTGCACTCTGAACATCAGTGCAGCTCACCATACACAGACTTGCCAGTCTACAACAAAGACAGGGGCCCAAAGAATGATAAATGGCTTAAGTCTTTTTCTCTCCTCATCCCCAGAAGCTAAGGCAAACTCTCCAATATAACTAGATGTCATACTGGTAAGGGAAAAAGGGAGAAGAGGCAGCCCTGAGATTATCTAAAAGGTAAGGTTTGAACTAAATTGTTTCAAACAAGAACAGAGGAACAGAGCAGTAACAGTCAGGTTAAATGTGTAATTTTATATGCCCTTCAACCCATAGAAGAATCCTGCTATATTAAAGGTCTTATGTTGGTTGCCTTCCATATCCCATCATAAGTCAAGATGTTAAAGAAGCACAGCACTGGGTGTTTTACACAAAGAATGGATCATTGAACACTACAACAAAAACTTATGATATACTATATGCAGCCTAACTGAACATAATAAAAAAAGATGTTAAAGAAGAATCCTTAATATTTAGAATTGAAAATTATTTCCTTACTCAAAATATAGGGTTTCTATTGGTGGACATTTGGGCGCCAAAAGAAGCAGTAAGGAAATATTGTTGAGCTGGGACTTTCTAGAGCCTTGGTTTTCAAAGTGTGATTTGCAGACCAACATCATCAACAGCAGCTGAGAGCTTATTAGAAATGCAGATACACAGGTCCCACCACCATGTATCTGAATTAGCCCAGCTTTATAATACAATTCCCAGGTAATCTGTGTGCACATTACATTCCAGAAGCAATGTCTAAAAGGTCAGAATCCCTCTCTAATCATACAAAGGATGTGGCTGCCCTCCCCACTTTTTAATAAGAACAAGGGAGACCATCATATATAGCACCCAATTCCCAAAATGTTTATAGGTTAATACAAAAAAAAAAAAAAACCTCAAAAAGTGCCATTCTCATATCTGTCATTGGCAAATGTCTTAAACATTTGCTGAGAAAAATATAAGCAGATGCTTACTGTTCCATCACACTGGCCATCCTTAATCCTTAGATACATCCGTTCATTTTTCACACTTTCGAACATGCAAATACCAGAGCTGATTTTATGCACTTTCCAGTAGGATTTTTCAGACTGGCTTCCCACTCCAGTGCAGCTCCCATCAGGCTGGAGACACAGGGCTTGGCACAGGCTGGTAGCAAGTAGAACCACAGCACTGTTGAGGAACACACCCTCGAGAACAATAAACAAAACAGAATCAGTAAATAACAATCTCATGTTCTGCTAAAAGAAGATGGAAGTAGAGTTCATTCTCTTACAGAAGGTGTAGTGATCAGAATTTTATCAGAAACTTCTTTGCTGAAAGGAAGCAAAATAAGGAAGTAAATAATTAAACTACTATGCAAAACCAAACAAAATTAAAGGAGGTTCTCTGACTCATTATAATTTACATCGATTATTATTGAGAGTAAAAGTGTCACCATCAGATGCTGTAGATTAAAAATATATACAAAACACAAACATTTCTCTTAAGAACTTTACAATCAATATAAACAAATAATTATAATAGTAATACAAAGCAGAATAAGAATAGTGTACTTCAAGTGTACCTGAATTATGGGATGTACCATATGGATATTAGTTCAAAGTATATATGTAGGAATGAATAAATGAAAAGAGTTATCAAATATAACTAAGGTAAATTTAAGTAAATCCTAGGCAATCAATAACTTAAGAAGATGTAGGAAATTCTTAAAGGTTTATTAAAATACACTAACACTGTAGAGAAATAGATAAAATACATAAATACAGAAGACAAAATACAAATAGCAAATAAACATAAAAAAGGTAATTCACACTAGTTCACTACTCTAAAAATTGTCGTAGGTTTTTTTAAGGACCATGCCCAAAACTAAAGTCAACACAGTGGATACTCTGTTACACTACTAAAGGAATTTAGTAAAGAAATGAAGGGAAAAAAAGAGACAAAAAAACAGAGTTTATTATTAGAAGTTTATTATTAAAAGTTTATTATTTGCAAAGAATAAACTTGTGGTTGCAGAGGAGAGCTGGGTAGAGGGATAGGTGAAATAAAGGAATTAAGAGCACACTTACTTTGATGAGCATTGAGAAATGTATAGAATTGTTAATCATTATATTGCACACCTGAAACTAATATAATACTGTATGTTAATTATATTTCAATTTAAAAAAAGGAAAGAAATTAACTTTACTCATAGAGGTCTGGCTTTTGCCTTCGGACTCTGAAATGTAATCTCTAAACCTTAGGATTGTCAGATTTGATAGAGGAGTTTTTTGTTTGCTTGATGGTCTTGGGCCAGCCACATAGTAAAAAGTGATTTAGGGTGGCAGCTTTGAGTCACAAGGTGTCAGCTGACCTCCTGAGAGGCTGGACACGGAGATCAGCCATATGGACTCCTTATATGATTGAACCCCAGTAAAGATGGGGCACCAAGGCTCAGGTAAACTTCTTGGTTAACAATACTTCATGCATATTGTCATATATCTATGCTGACAAACTAAAGCTGTCCTGACTCTATGGGGAGAGGACAACTAGAAGTTGCACCATTTGGTATTTTTCTTGGATTCTGCCCTATGTGTCTCTTCCCTTAGCTGATTTTAACCTGTATTCTTTCTCTGTGATAAAGCATAACCATGAGTATGACAACTCCCAGTGAGTTCTGAGTTTTTCTCTTAAATTATTAAAATTTAATTGTGGTCTCAAGGACTCTGGAACTCGGAAGTTGGTGTCAGAAGTGAGGGTAGTCATGTAAACTGCCCCCTCTAACTTCTCAGTTGTTTTAACTTCCACAGGATTAAAATCAGTATATTTCAGGAAAGAAAGTCAGCAATATGTTCCCATAGTTTTAAAGGCTTCTTTAAATATTCTGACCCTTAAATTCAACTTGAAATCATCTAAGCTAAGAAAATGATAAAATATTGGCCAAAGACATATGTAAAAGTATATTTTGCAGTAACATATATACAGTGGCAAAATGAAGAGATTAAGATTAAACATCCAGTGATTAAGTACTTAAATAAATAAACACATATACATAATCATATACCTTATGTTTGGGTATTATGCAACCATTAAAAATAATGTTGTTTGGGGGAAAAAATAATGTAATGAAGTGTTTATTATATAGTAAGTATAAAAAGTTTTGAAGACAAACTGACTTTGATTTGAATCATGATCTACCATTTACCAGTTATGTTATACCAGTCAGATTTTTAACTTCTCTGAAAATCTTTTCTTCATGTTTAAAATACAGAAAATATCTGTCAGTACTTTTAGGATGACTAAATAGTTTTTGTACGCAGTAAACTCTCAGTAAACTGCTTGGCACAAAATAGGCAATCTCATAAATTATACTTATTATTATGGTAACATTAATATTTTTAAGATAAATTCACACAAACACATACTATAAAGAAAGAAGTATAAAATGATCACACATACAGAACACTCAAAGATTGTAAATATTCTAATTGTTAGAAAAGTTAAATATATACATTTGATTGCCAATGTAAGAGTCCCTAAATTTTTATTAAGAATTCTCACATTTATACCATTTATAGTTTTAACCTCCAAATTCAATTGGATGTAGGACGTTACTCCTACCAGTTTCAGTACTGCTAAAGCTAAGTAAAATCTCTATTGCTTTTCAAAGTTTGGGTAAATAGAATGGCAATAGGCATCAATGCCACCTAGTGGGAAGAGATCTGATTACTCCTTAATGACTCAACTCAAGAATTTGCCTCAAAAAAGCAAAAGAAAGTGGGTATTTAGCAATACACACTTTAATGCCTTTCCACCATTTTACCTTGACAAAAACCACAAATTCCTTTGAAAGGTCTGCATAGCCTGCTGATGATTCATCAGCTATTTTGCCATGATGATCAACAGTAACTACATGACCAGGAACCAGCACTGACTCAAGAAGTGCACAGCGGTCGTGCTGATAAAGCACCCGCAACTCAGTACAGGCTCCACCGGTAACCTAAGAGGATAAAAAAAAAGAACAAAACCCCTGAATTAGCAAGAGAAAAATAATTAAATTTAAAATGTTTGGATATTATAAGTATATACAGGTCTACTCCACTCTATAGAATCCTTGTATTACCTATCACATGCTTTTGTGATTTAATTGTTTTGATTCTCCACCCTTTCTTTCATGTTTTATTCCAAGAACTTTCTTCTCTTGATTTCTCAGAACCCATGGTAGAATACTGGGTAACAACAAAAAAACTTCAGTGGCAGGATATTTTATGAATTATTAATATGTATGTTTATTGTTGTTTATTTTTCATTTCTTCATTTGTATCCTCCTAACCCAAGACTATTTTGGAAAATCTGAAATCAACAGACATGCGTTACTAGGTTTTACTTCCAAAAATCTAAACAAATCAAGGAGGTTATGCTACAAGGATACATTCCTGGTTCAAGGTACGATTTGAGATTTTATCCCCCATGTTCCTCTCATTACCTTGGAGAGATATTTGAGCCTGAAAAGGAAGGGCTCATTGATGGCCTTGAATGGCTTGACCCATGACACTAAGGCTACCAAACTCTGCAAAATGCTCTTGTATAAGAATGGCAGGGAAGCAACAGGACTATTCATCTTTAAAGAAGCCATCTGAGAGGCACCTGGATGGCTCAGTCATTATCTGCCTTCGGCTCAGGTCATGATCCCAGGGTGCTGGGATTGAAAACCGCTTCTCCCTCTCCCACTCCCCCTGCTTGTGTTTCCTCTCTCACTGTCTCTGTCAAATAAATAAAATAAAATCTGTTAATAAAAAAGAAGCCATCTAGGGCACCTGGGCAGCTCAGTGGGTTAAAGCCTCTGCCTTCAGCTCGGGTCCTGATCCCAGGATCCTGGGATCGATCCCCGAATCAGGCTCTGCTCAGCAGGGAGCCGCTTCCTCCTCTTTCTCTGCCTACTTGTGATCTCTGTCTGTCAAATAAATAAAATCTTTTAAAAAATTTTAAAAAGAAGCCATCTGATGTTTGATGAGTGTATTAGCAGTGACTGGTGTGGACTGAAGCTAAGAAGGCTGTTACTGATATGCTGAGGTCCCCATACCAGAAGAAATCTTATGTGTAACAAAATGAGTCTCATAAAAACTAAGATGGAAGCTCTCACCAACCTAGTAGGATAGGAGCTTGGAAATAGATTTAACTTGATTTTAGAAAAATAAAGTAATAGGACATTTCTCAAACCCTTGACTTAATTGAGTAGATTTCATATCCACTACATTCATATTTATAAGCACTTATTATGACTAGGACCTATACTAACTGAGTAGATTATTCTACAAAGTACAACACAGGATGACTTGCTAATTCCAGAGCAGAGGAAAAAAGACTTTTTGAAGAAAATTATTATCACTTAACCTGAATTTCAGGCCTACAAATTACATAAGTTTTTTTCAATAATTATTAATTTTCCTTAAGTTAAATAAAATGCTATGAGTCAAAAATCACATAATATTGGGGCACCTGAGTGTCTCACCTATTGAACAGCCAACTCTTGATTTCGGTTCAGGTCGTGATCTCATGATTGGGGGATTGGGCCCTGCCAGGGGCTCTGCACTCAGCGTAGAGTCTGCTTGTCCCTCTCCCTCTACTCCTCCCTCCACTCATGTTCACCCCCCTTTAAAATAAATAAATAAAATCTTAAAAAATAATCAGGTAATATTATATAACATTATATGAGGAAGCTGTAGCATGAGTGCTAGAATCAGAACGCCTGTGTTCGATTCCTGCTTTCACATTTACAACCTATGTGACTAGGTAACTCAATCCATCTGTCAGGTTCCTCTTCTGCTAAATAAGGATAATAATGGATTCTCTCAGAGGGTAGATATAAAGACTAGATGTTATAACATATATTAAGCATTTGGAACAGTACATGACAGTTATCCTATGCTGTCTCATTTTTCAAAATCAAAAGCAGGCATATATTTTTTAAAACAGCTTTATATATTAAAAACTATTTTTTCAAACCTAAACCAAGGAGTACAAAGTATACTTAGGTAAAATTATTATTATTTTTTCCCTAATAACATGTCCCCTAAAGGGGCATTTGAGAAATCAGATCATCTCCTTTTGGGAGATGAGGCCTATTTAATATTTTGAATGTTATCAGAAAAGTGGTCTACTTTTTCTTGTCCAAATTTTAATTACTGACATATAGGATCATTTATGCATCAGAATCTCAAAACTTAGTAAGACAAAACAGAATAATGAAAATGGTTAAAGTAAAAGCCGTAGAAAATATAATTTGATCTTATAAAAATATATATAGATACAATACTATTGATATATGACAAAAAGGAAAATTCCTACATACCATTCCAGTGACATTGCTATTGTCAATAGCAAGAGAAAGATGTCTTATTTTATGACTTTGGAAAATGCATATATTTCCTCTGTTGAAAATAACATCAAAGAGACCTGGAAAACATTTTAGGGTATTAGCAAGTAATTCATGCTTTTAAAGTATTTTTTCTTATTCAATTATACACTGAAATCTCCTAATAATATATTTTATGATATCTCTTAGTTAAATGTTTTTAGTTAGTCAAAAAGTAGAATGCTGATAACCTTTGATTATCTATAAGCTGCTTGGCAATTTGCTGGCCTTTCCATGGAAAATCGTTAATGCATTTCCATTCTAATTGGTAAGCACCTGAGACAACCCCAAAAAATGACACCTGATAGAACTGATTCCAAGATGATAAATTATCCTGTTACAAAAAACCATTTCCATTCTCTAAATCTCAGGGACTTGAGGTAAAATAAAATAACACATTATAATAATGCATTATAAATACATATGATTTGAACATTAGTGACTACTTTGTATGATGATGTCATCACATGTTTGTGATGTATAAAAAGCATATTTTCAATATACTTTTGCACACTTTTTTACTTTATAATTTATGCTCTTGAAGGCATGAATTTTTGTCTATTCTGTATATATAACTGCATATAACTACACTTAGAGCTGTGCCTAGAACATAGTAACTGCTCAGGAAATATTCTTTAAAAAGTTAATTAGATCCCCACAGCCTACACAATAGGTACCACAGATGGAAATTGAACCTAGGACCTCAGATCTTAGCCCAGTGCTCTTTCCAATACCGAGAATCCTTTCTTTAGTACTTACAAACAACAAATTTTCAAGAATCCACTCTTGTAACAATAAGATATAAAGACCATTTTTCCTTTTACAAATAGGTGATTCTCAGAAAATGTAAGTCAACAAGCCAGATATAAAGGAATACATATTGTGTGTTTTATTTTACAGAAAGCACAAAATATAAGCAATACATTGAACTCACTGGAGCACCAATATATAAAAATACATATAAGACTAATATTAACAGATCTACAGGGAGAAACTGACAGACTACAATAATAGTAAGGAACTTTAACCCCTGACTCATACCAATGATTCAACTAAGAATCAATTACAAGAAGATAACTGGAAAATCCACAAAACTGTGATGATTAAACAACATGCTACTGAAGCAATGTATTAACCAATGTATAATCAAAGAAACCAAAGAAGGAAATAACTGGAGACAAATGAAAGCATAAATACTACCTGTCAAAATTTTGGGTTTTCAGCAAATGTGATTCTAAGAAGGAAGATCATAGCAATATAGGCCTAACTCCAAAACCAAGAATGTCTCAAATAATCTAACTTCAAACCTAAATCTAAATGTATGACTCTAGTTCTGGTTTTAGCAAGAGAGAGTTCAATCATTCATTTAACCACTGGTTATTAAGCACCTACTATGTGCAGGCAATATTTTTCAGTCATAACCTACATAAAAATTCTCAATGCTCTTATTTCTAAAACATTCTTATATTTAAAAACAAGAGGTAAATCTTTATAATCTTAAAGTTCCTGGCTAATTCTAATATCCACTGGATCAAATCACACCAATAGCATCAAAACAAACTCTAATTGCCAAAACCCAACAGAAGCATTTTCAGTCCTTATTTCATTTTGCTTCTCTACTCCATTTGAACCTGCAGGCATCTTTTGAAACTTGACAATCTCACACTTCACTAACTTCCTTCTCAGTTTCCTACTTTATTCTCAGTTGTCCTCTTCATGCACAGGGCTCTGTGCTAAGGTGATTAACTTTCTCACTCTTCACTGGCTCCCTGAGAAGTTTATTTTAATAATCCGTGAAGTGATAAATACCAAATCAACATCTCAACCACTCATTTCTCCCTCAAAATCAGCTCATATGTATAATTTAACTCACACACACTTCAAACTCAATATATACAAACTAGAGTTTACAATTTTCCACATATTCTTCCAATCTACTCCTCCTAAATATTCTGTATTTCCTACCTTAGTCAGTGACCCCCATCAACAACTTAATCATCCAAACTGGAAACCTAAGAATAAACTTTTCCCTTTACCACACCTTTACCAATAAATGATGAAGACCTGCCAATTATCTCCTAGAAATTCTTCAAATCCATTCACTCTTCTCTATCAATATTCCCACTGAAGTATTTTAGGCCCTCATCATCTTCTGTCTGGCATATTACAAGAGGCTTCTAATTGGTCACTCTTCCTCTAATCTTTCTGCACAGGCCTAAATCTGGCCTCCATTTAGCCACCAAAGTATTTCTATTCTACTTCAAATCTGTTAATGGCTATCACCCACCATAAAAAGGAATAAAAGTTGCCTTAAAACATGCACTGGACCTTCTCTCCCAGACCTTTAAAGACACAGATCATTCATGGAGGATGTATAGTTTTAACTTATAAAATGCAGTAGATAGCTTTTGGTTACTAGAAGCCTACTGATATTCTTATAGTAGTGAGATCAAGTATTTGAAACATGTTTTGTGGTCTCTAGAGTAAAGCATCAAATCACTCTTTATTGCAACACTCAAAATTCATTTTGATTCTACTTCTGGATTCTGAGTTAAGAAATTCAGCAATTTACAATACAAAATAGCCCTGATTTGCTGAAGACTGATAAAAGTGTTAGTCATCCCTCTACATATCAAATTAGAGAGAGTTAGAGGATGCCATAAAGTGAGCAGACATATCCCCACTATGAAAGTGTATTTCCAAGACATCCAGAGTCCTCTTATTCCTTTACATCTCCTTTCCCTAATCTTTCCTAATGCAGAAACTGAAGGACACTTTAAACAGGACTGAATAAGACAACATCCATTCTAGAGCATATTCTTTTCCAATCTAAAGCCAAAGAGGTCCTTCAAAGCACTCTCATAAAATAGAGGGGCAAAGCCAATGGCTTCTTAATTTCAGAGAAGTGTAGCTATGACATGGTAAAGGTGCAGCAGAAGACAAAGTGGCCAATATATATTCAGTGCTATACTCTTTAAATAATAAATTGTTTTTCATTTCCTTTATTAAGATCTAGTAGCAGAGAACCAGACAAATAAAATAATTGCAGCTAATCACCATCAGATATTCACTAGAAATAGGGCTTATAATAGGTAGATCAACTACTAACAATAATCTAAGAGAAGAACTCTATTAGTACCTACACAGATAGGTTAGAATATCAGAAAAAATCCAAAGAAGAGGTTAAGTCTTAGAAATGGTTATGTGATTTGTTATTCAAAAAAAAAAAAAAAACCTGGAGAATAACCAGTACAAGAACTTTTTTTAAAGTTGAAACACAAGGAAAAAGGGGCATTACCCTCTTTGGCATACCATATAAACTATTTAATAAAGAAACAGTGAAAATTGCAGAAAATTTTTTCTTCAAAGTCCTGAGAAGATTCTAACTAAATTTCATAAAATAGTTCTCCTTAAATTCCTACTTTTCACTTAATTAAAACTGAAACAAAATTATCAAGCATGCATCAGAGGTACAGTTACCATATAATTGTTCAACCAGGTTTTTGAGAGTAAAAAGGGGTGCCAATCAGATGGAATGCAGATATAAACATGCAAATGAGTGTGTATCATGCTCTCAACTTACGTTAGGCTTGACCCAAAAAAAAAAAAAAAAAAAAGACCTAGCTTTACATTTTAAAATTGGAGAATAAGTGTGTGTTTATGTTTCTGGCTTATAAAATAGTTTAAAGTGTACATTTTTTATTATTAACTCTGCTTTAATGACAAAAGTATAATGAGTCTAAGACACTTATGTGCCACTGATGAGAGTATAAACTGATAGAACTCTTCTCCAAAGAGATGGGGCAATCTGTAAAAAGAACCTTAAAATTCTCTTTATATTTAAGTCAACAACAGGAGGAAAACTGGAGAATTAACAATACTTTGAAACTAAGTAACACACTCCTTAACAACCAGTGAGTGAAAGGAAAAATCAAAATGAAAATCAAAATAAATCTTGAGACAAATGAAGTTGGAAACAGAACATACCAGAGTCTAGGGGATGCAGCAAAAGCATTTCTAAGAGGCATATGTGTAGTAAAAAATGTCCACATTAAAAAAAGAAAGATTTTAAATAAACAACCCAACTTTATACCTCAAGAAACTACAAAAATTATAACTAATCCCAAAATTATTAGAAAGGAGATAACAAAGATCAGAAGAGAAACAGATGAAATAGAAAATAAAAACAATAGAAAAGATCAATGCAGATCTTGAAACAAAGAGTTGGTTTTTTGAAAAGATAAATAAAACTGACAAATGTTTGGCTAGGTTAACCAAGAAAAAAGAGAGAGGACTCAAATAAAAAAATATATATAAATGAAAAAGGAGACATTACAGCTGAAACCACAGAAATACAAAGAATCATGAAACTACTATGAACAATTATACAATAAATTGGAAAACCTAGAAGAAATTGATAAAGTCTCAAAAACATACACTCCATCCAGACCAACTCCTGAAAAAAAAAGAAAGAAAGAAGGAGGAGTCAAGATGGCAGACAAGTAGGAGGAGGCACTGTTTCAACCTGTCGCCTAAAGTGAGCTGATGACCTACCAAAGAACTCTGATCACCCATGAAATCAGCCTGAGATTAGAATTATACACTTCTGGATCTCTATGAGGGCAGAAGACACCAGTGGGCAGGTAAAGAGGAGTGGGAACATCGGACTGATACCGGAAGATAAACAAAAGGGGGAGGGAGGCACCAGAAGTGACTCATTGGAAAGAAATACCTCAATACGAGGGTGCCCTGTGATTGAAGACCGGCATTAACTTGGAGTCTGGTTGAAAGCACTCAAAAAGAGCAAAGGATCATAGGGGGAAATTGGGGGAATCGGCCGGTTAGGGACAGGGGCATAAGCCTGCCAATCTAGGACAGCCACCAATGGTGCTGAGCCAGAGAGAGTGCAGCAAAGAAGTCAGGTCTTGGTCCCTGAGCCACCAGTGCACCGGAGAGCATGTGGGTGGTGGCACCCATGAGGGCGAGGAAGCCTCACCAGCTGGCAGAACCACAGCATTTTGCACTCTCCATGCACATGCCC